TCTATCTATCTATCTATCTATCTATCTATCTATCTATCTATCTATCTATCTATCTATCTCGCTGGTCTCCAATTCCACCTATCCTCTCACCCAATTACACCCTCCCCACACCACCCCCTATTTTCAGATAAATGCCACTTTTTCCTAGCTGCTATCATTTCTGAGTAAGGGTCACTAGACTGGAAACTTTCACTCTGCTCTATTTCTCTCCACATATGTTTCCCAAACCTGCTGAGTTTCTCTGGCGATTTTTCTTTCTGTTTGCCCTGGAAAGTGCAAATTGGACTGTGTTAATGTCAAAGTTCTTTCATTTTGCTTCGAGGTCCAGAAAATCAAGTCACCATCAGCATGGTTGTTGTCTGCATAACGCTTGGAACGCTGTTGGCCTGTGAGCTAATCGCCCTAATGGTGCTGATTCAAAGAAAGTCGTCGAGGAAAGGTACAGTTTACATCTTATCACTGAATTACGCTTTGTAAACAATTGCTCAGGGAAAGCTGGTGACACTAATTGCGTTCGCATTCATTGGCCATCCCTAACTACTCAGAGGGCACTTAAGAATCAAATACATCGCTGTGGGTCTGGAGTCATATTTAAGCCAGACCAAGTGAAGATGGCAGATTTCTTTCCCTGAGATACATCAGTGAAACAGATTCCCCCTCTCCCCTGCCAGCAAACGACAATGGTTTCATTTTCCCCAAAATATCATAGAATCATGGAATGATACAGCACATAAATAGGCCATTTGGCCCCTCTTGGCTATACCGACCCAAAGACAGCCAGATGCCATTTCCAATCCTATCTTCCTACACACGACCCTTTGCCCTCAGGCTTATAACACTTGGGCACCAATCCAGGTACTTCTTCAAAGACTTTAGGGCTTCTGTTTCCACCACCAACTCAGGTGCTGATGTTCAGATACTTCTGCATAAAAAAAGGTTTTCTTCACTTCTCCTCTGATCCTTCTGCCGCTTAGCTTCGATCTATGACCCTTTGTTTTTGAACTCTCTATTAAGGGAAACATGTTGCCCCTATCTATTCTCTCTACTCCTCACAACTCGGGGTACCTCAATCACGTTGCCCCTCAGCCTTCTTTGTTGCAAGGAAAACAATCCCAACCTCTCTAATCTCTCATTGTAGCCACAGTTATCCAGACCTGGCAACATTCTAGTAAATTTTCTTTGCACTTTCTCCAGAACAATTATGCCCTTCCAGTAATGTGGTACCAGAACTGCACACAATACTCCAGTTGTGGCCTTACTGGTGTCTTATACAGCTTCATCATTTTGTCCCTACTTTTGCATTCTGTACATCTGCAAATGAAGGAAACATTCTATATGCCTTCCTTACAACGTTTACATCTACCATTCTGGACCTGCGCACTTACATGCCAAAATTTCTCACTTAATCTTCCTCTTTCTGTATATTTTCGTTCATTATGTATTCACTTTCACTGTTTGACCTCCGTAATTGCATTACCTCATACGTTTCACAGTTGAACTCTATCTGCCACTTTCCTGCCCATGCCAATTACCCATCTATATGGTTGTGGAACTTACAGCTATCTGCTACACGGTCCACTACACTGTCAATTTTTGTGTTGTCTGGAAATTTCCTAATTGTGTCCCACCCACCTCCACCACGTTCAATTCCAAATAGTTAATATACAAAATGAACAGCTGGGGTCCCATCACACTGTACTTTGAAACACCACTTGATACAGCTTTCTATTCACAAGGCCAGACATCGCCATTATCTTTTTTCTGAAGAAGGGTCCCGACCCGAAACGTCAGCTTTCCTGTTCCTCTAATGCTGCCTGGCCTGCTGTGTACCTCCAGCTCCACGCTGTATTATCACCATTATCCATTGTGGCCTGTTACTAAGCCAACCCTGAATCTAATTTGACACATTACCCTATATCCCGTGGGTTTTTACTTTGTTGACCAGTTTGCCATGTGAGACCTTGTCAAATGTCTTACTGAAATCCATGTAGACAATATCCATTGCATTGCCCTCATCGATCCTCCTTGTCACTTCCTCAAAGAATTCAATCAAATTTGTATAGTATGACCTTCCTTTAATATAACCACGCTGACTATCACTGGCATGTCCATGTCTTGCTAAGTGATAGTTTATCTGTTCTTTCAGGGTTGAATTTGTCCACCACTGAAGTAAGACTAACAGACCTAGAATTGTTTGGCATTACCTTTGTACCCTTTTTAAACAATGGAACCATATTTGCATTCCTTTAGTCTTCTGGCACCTCGCCCATGTCTAGTGAAGATTGGAAAATTATCCTAAGAGCATCCGTTATTTCCTTCCAGACTTGCTTCAATGCTCTAGGGAACAATGAATCCCGCCCTGGAGGCTTATCCAATTTCAAGGATTCCAATTCCTCTAACACTTCCTCTCTCATTATGGTTATTTTGTCCAACATTTCACACTGCTCTTCCTGGATTACTATAACCACATCATTCCTTTCCTTTTTGAATATGGCAACAAAAAAATGATCATTTAAGATTTTTCCCAAAACCTTCTGCAACTTCTCAGAAGTTCACTTCTTCATCTCTGATCAGTCCCATTCTGCCTCCACAAGCCTTTTGGTCTTTATATACTGGCAAAACATCTTTGGGTTTTCCTTGATCTTGCTCGCTAATATGTTTTCATATACTCTCTTTGATTTCCTTATTTCTTTTTTTATTTGAATTGTACTTTGTATATTCCTCTAGGTGATCTACAGTATTGTATTTTTGTGACTATCACAAGCTTTCTTTTTCTGTTTGATCTTTCCCTGTATCTTTCTAGACAACCATGGGGGTCTAGATTTGACAGTGCCATTCTTATTTTCGGAAGGGCCATGTCTGCTTTCTGCCCTGAGAATCTCACTTTTTAGTGCCTCCCACTAGTTTACCATTGATTTATCCTTTAGCAATCTTATCCAGTTCAGTTCAGCCATTTCACTCTTCAGTTTCCAGACAGTGGTGTTCATTCTTCTTAAAACTGAATGTTTTTCTCTCTCTCTCTCTCTCTCTCTCTCTGCTAAAGGCAGTCAGGTAATGTTTGAAAGGCAGACTTCACTGAAGTGTGCACAATAATTTGCTTGTCTGATCTGCCAGTACTGGAGACCCCAGATAAATGTAATGGTTCTAAGAACGGAGCAGAAGCTGTTGAGTACGGTCCTTGTAAAATTCTCACTAAGGTGTACTTTGTGTAAACACTGTACCCTCCTTACTCAGGACTCACAGTTGATACTGACTGCAGAAAACAGTCACCATTCTCTAAACGTAACTCATCAGGTGGCTTTTATCAATCAAACGCAAACGTAGATTCTGCCTGCTCATATAATCTGATTTTTTAGTTTGCTGACATTGGTTTAATTTAGTCCTGTTCCAATCGAGATGATGACTATCTATCAATACAGAAGATGTCTCTGTCTTTATCTCTGTCTCTCTATCTGTATCTCTCCGCAGTGCCTAACTTAATCCACATGCAGACACACACACATACACACACACACAGTCTCTTTAACATACACACAAACACACATTTACAAACACACACACACACACACACATACACACACATACACACATACACACACACACACACACACACACACACACACACAGGTACATACGTAAAAATATATACACACAAACAATCTCTAACACACACGTGCAAACTCACATGTAGAAACACCCACAAACACTCAGACACAGAGATACACACACGTATAAATATATATTCATAAACACAAATACAAACATGAACGTGCACAAACACACAAACATACTTAAAAACCAATATATGCACCCATATACACACGCAAACACATAGAGTGACACAAACACACACACACACAAAATATCACCACATTCAAACTAACTGGTTTCATTACATTGACCATTGCTATCACGGTGCCATGTTTATATTTGCAAACACTCTAACATTAAGTGCAGGTTGGAACTCATGTCTGGGTTAATCTCTTCACCCTCCCTCCGACAGATGCTCTCACCAATGACTGGGATGCCCCCATGGGTTTATACCAAGCAATTTATGAAGAGATTGAGAATATTCCATCACATAAAGGGCTGGCTTGGCCCAGTGCTGCAGGTTAGTATGTCCAATTGCAAACCGAATGTGCACTGGACAAATATTGCATTTCATATGATGCCCTTTAAAATGTCACTGCCCCTCAATGAAGGCTGTCGGCAGTCTGGTCACTCCTCCATCTGAAAGAATTCTTTTGCAGTTTCGTTGTGATTGATGGTCTTTTTAAAGATATCCTCTGCTCTGGAACGTTTAAAAATCCTTGTTTTTGTAAAGTTGCTTGAATGATCGTATCTGATCCAACAAACAATACACACAGGGACTGATTCCACATTTCAAGTATTGCAATCACACCAGGGTCAAAACCTTACAGACTTGATGCAGGAAGTGAAACGGAGGGAGAAAAAAAGAAATAAATCTGAGGAATGTTTTGAATAAATCTTAAGAACAAAAACAACGGAGAATTTAGAGTTACAGGTAATTTAGTTCAACAAGCATTATATCAACAATTTTGACAGGGTCAAGAAAGATGTTCTGCTTGAACTCGTTGATATGTCAGTAACTAAGGGGTGTCAGAGTTTCAAGATTATTCGCAAGAGAGCTAGGAGTAAGATGAGGAGAATCTTCTTTGCTCAGAGAGTTGTCAGGAGTTGGAACTCTGGGAGAGTGGTGGAAGCAGATTGCACAGAAGATTTCAAAGAGAACTGGATATATATTTGAATATGATGAATTTAGAGGCTTATGAAGATGGGGGTGAAGAGTGGGACTAGCTCGGTAACTTTATCAAGAGCTGGTGCGGAAACAATGGGTTTAATGTCCCCCTTGTTTTGCAAAACTCTATCATTCTATAGACAAGAGTGATGATCAGTAAGCAGGGAATAGAGTTATATGGAAGTGTACTGAACTTCTGCTGAATCCAGTCTCAGGAAGGTCCACATCATTGACTTAAGAGCAATCGATGTGGAATTAAGCAGTAGAGGTGGAGCTATTTCCCATATCCACAAATGCTGAGTCGCAGGAGTGTGTACTATCAACAAGACGCATGCAAAAATTCACCAAAAATCTTCAGGCAGCATGTTCCAAACCCACAACAACTCCCACCTGAAAGAGAAGGGCAGTGGATTCATGGGACCATGGCCCCATGCAAGCCCGCCTCCAAGCCTCTCACTGTCATGACTTGGAAATATGTCGCTGTTCCTTCAGTGTTGCTGAGTCAAAATCTTGGAATTCCCTCCCTAACGTCACTGTGTGTTTCCCTGCACAGCGTGTGGGGGTTCAAGAAGACGGGTCTTTCTCAATGGGCAACTCAGGGTGGGCATTAAGTGCTAAACCCATCCAACGATGCTCGCTTCCCATTAATGAGTAAAGAAAGTCGGGTAGCAATTAGCCAT